AAGTATCACGTGTTCCCTTTTACTTATTTCATTTCGTCGCGATAAATTATTAAACCGAGAGTCTGGAAACTTTTGCTATACAGCGTGTTTTCGAACTGGTGGCACAAGCGGCAAAAGAAGAATAACATTTTTTCGTATCGGCCTCGTTTCCGAGTAAATCGGCGTTGAATATTTACCAAGCATACCAAGCGTATACTTGTAGGCCAGTTTTTGTTACGTTTGGATTCGTAAACATCGCCAATGTCGTGGCTCGTTGTCATTTCACTATGAGACCTTCAGTCTTGGTCGTTCTGTCGATGTGACAACATACAGTAATCGGGAGTAGGTACGCCGATACGATTCTCGCGTTGGGTGCTTGTGCCGGTAAGTTATTTTACTAATTACTGCAAAGAACGCCATCAAAATCGCCGTCATTCCAACGGAAGAACAGCAGAAGTGCAACGCGATGATATTTGTATGCCGTAGACGTGAGATCATGTGTAAGTGTACGTGTACTCGGTAAACGAAGCCCGATACGGAAAATTATTCTTTTTGTAGTCACCCCCTTGCCGCTTGTACCACCGGAAACACCGTGATATTGTATAAATTGCTCAGTTGTTCGTGAAATATCTTTTAAACACCACTCGAACTATCTGCAACTTTGCACTTTCTCGCGAAAGATAGCGACGAGTGATCAAGATTTCCCAGATAAAGGAACCATCAATGAAAACCCACTTTGAACCAGAATTTTTCCGTGCTTCGCCCTCACCGTCATAGATTTGCTATCGATTGAACCTTGGAGTTTCGTCGCCGAAATACACATCCTGTCATTACAGCATACCTAGCCCAATTACATCGTAATTCTCCCGTCGATGCCACTACAATACTTCGCAACGAGTGGTTCCATAATTGAGACGGCGTAGATTCGCGTAATGCCGGGCAGCGTGCCGCGCGATCGCTCGTGAATCAATTGCCTCGGATTACCCCGATTAATACGATTGTCCACGAGTGACGCTGTAATCCCGAGTTAATTAATGCGACAAAGTGCAATCGAAATCGCGCGGAACGCTACACATCTCGCTTCGAAGCGGGAAAGAAATGGAGAATTTTCTCAACACTCTCCGCGATGTAACTTGAACGAGCAACAACGGAGCAGCGTGATCGAAAGGGCGATTGAACGCAAAATCAGCGATGGACCGACGTCACGTTAACTCGGTTTGCGACCGGACAGGCTCAGGTCTCCGTTTGCTCACCTCTCCTCGAGAAAATCACGTTTCTGAAACTGTCTGTTCCTGTGGAAATCTCACGATCGTCCCGTTGAGACGGAATTTGTCTCTCCATCTGGTCACGCGCGTTTTAACCCTTTGACTGCTGGCGACTCGAAGGTAAAGCTCTGGCTGTGTACGACCGAGTTATGGCGTTGATAGTTAGACTACGTGTTTCGTTGGCTGAAACATTTTTCGCTGAATATTTCGCATTTTGTATTTGCGAAATAAGTAATATGTAAATGTGAAAAATAGAACATGAATCACCGAGTCAAAGGGTTGATAACGATCGATCGCGAGTATATTTTGGAGAAATGTGCACAGTTCGTTGCTCAGGCGTGTAACCCTTTCTTCCGTTTCCTGTTTTCGAAATTCACACGGTTCGACGACTTGGTGGTTGGTAAAAAGAAGAGTGCACGCTTTGATCTTAAATTGAAATTGCACGGAATTGCGCGAGTTTTTCTCATTGGAACGGATAAGAAAAACGGGGCTAGCTTTGTGATGTTTCGCTGCTTTGATGGCGATTATGATAATCTCCCTTGTAATGGAACGTGTAAAGGCCGAGTACCAAGAAATACGGGATGCAAATGTGAAAATGATATCTCTCGAATTATGTAGGAAAGAAGATTTAATTTTTGAAATGCACCTCTTTCGTTTTTTCAAGTGATAATTCTTTTATCAGTCCACTCGGTCATTTTCTGGTAGATTTTGAACGAACGTTTCTCTTAAATTTTCAAAGTATCGAATTTGATATTTATTAATCACCCTGTAACTAAGGGTTAAATTTTCCAAGTTTCCAGGACGATAATTTTGATCACTCCACCCGTTAATTTTCTTAAAAATTTTCAATTAACGTCGTCGAGAGCTCGGCAGAAATTTACTTCGTTCCGAAAAGTACCGAAATTTGCGAATTATTTTCTCTAAGAGAAGAAGAAACAAATTCACCTATTCAACGAAATTTACAATGACGCGAAAGTTTCGATCGACGGTGTACACGGTACATGTATTAATAGACGGTTTAAAGAGGAATTTTTGCGCAGGAAGTTTAGTACGAGAGTTTGTTTTACGCGGAAAAAGCGGCTGTAGAATGTCTATTTCGGTCGGGCATCGTCGTATCGTTATCGACTTGCCAATCATCGAAGGCAGACGCCGGCCGGTTTATTCAATAATAAATTATCTGACGCGAGGTTTGATCACGAACACGTTCCGCGCACGAAATTGATTTGAGTTCCAATCTGTGCATTACGTCGCAAACACGCTTTTACAATTTTGTTAACCGTGTTTCTGTTAGTTGTAGTAAATGCTTCAGCGGTAAATTGGAAAACGAAACTTTTTCCTTTTTTTTTTTTTCTCGGACTTTCCCACGGAAGATAATTGCAACGATGTGGAAAATTACTTGCAGGAGGTAAATTGAGAAATTTTCGCCAGTGGATCGACGAAGGGTGTAGGATCGAGTGTATTCCTTGAAGTCGGATGGATTATAATTTCATTCGGGGGAATATTAGATAGCAAAAGTCGCATAGTTTCGTTCTTTTTCATTTCATCTCGAGTGGTTAGGTACTCGTGACTCGCTTCCTTCTGGCTTATCCATTCAGCCTCATTCTTCGACCTTCTTTCAATCCCTCGTGCTTTAGGTACGAGTCGTAAATCTTTTCAGTTATCACGTTGTGCCCGGTACACGAATGAATTCTATTGTGTCTAACGTACGTTTCTTTCTTAATATCGAATGGAACGTAATAGCAATCGATACGTTACCTAATGTAGCGTTGTCCGATACAGGCTGCTTCAGAAATATGTCGACACTTGTCTGGGAGTGACTTTTGTTGGGAAACAGAACTGACGGCGCGATATAGAAGCCTAACTTTGAAAATTTTGCTTGGAAATTTTGGTTAACGAGGTATTTTTAGTTTTTTAAGGGTGAATTAAAGTTCTGCTCTAGACAAAATTATGAGTTAGGTCACTATTTTAGACTATTTTAGGGAAATCTGTGAACAAATTTTTGAAATGTTGGTTGTTCTTTGAAGAAAAACGCCTGTATTAGTTTAGCCCTGTTAACGAATAATCGACACTTGGCGAAATCTATACAAACTTCTAGAAACTGGCTGAAAATACGTATTTCAATAGCACAAAGACTCTAACAATGCGTGGAAATATTTGGGGTCACTGTATATACTCGAGTGTTTCTGTGGTACCTATTTTCATCCAGTTTTAGTTATTCCCTTCTCATTAGTACTAATTGACGTTCGGTAATACAAAAACAGTGGTCAACGTTCAAAAATTTTGCGTAAGCGCGAAGTGTCCAAATTTCTATACAAATATCGACGTTCTTTCGAAGCACTCTGTATAAGTTCAATTCTTTACAATTTTCCTCCCCCCGTTTGTACACGTTTATGTAAAAAGCAATTGTTACAACTGAACTTGATATCGACGATTTTGCAAATTTTTTCCAGGTTAGCGCGGCTCTTTGACGAGAATATGTCGGCTATTATAGGCGATAAATTTTCATTATCCCCCCTCCTGTGTGATCAATTTCGCGACGCGGAAATTCATCGTTGCCCGAGCTGCGTGAAAAATATCCAGGCCAAAGGGAGAGAGGAGGGAAGGGGGGAAAAATGGAGGAAGAAAAATGCGAGAGGAATAAAAGGGAGGAGACCGAAAAGCGAGCGGTCCGTATCAGGCTGGTAAGGTACGTATGGACAACTTTGAAGTGGACACATGAATAAAAAATATCCCGCTAACACGCGTCGACCTATTTCGGTTCTTTCCCTCTCGCTTTCTCACACACACACACGTGCATACACAGACGCTCTCTTAACGGTGAATATTAAAAGAGAACAGTTTGTGAAATGTTAGAGAGCAATTATCGAGCAGAAATTTTTAGGAGATGATTAATCGAACTGGATGGCGTGTGCTGTCCGACGACGCATCGATCCCCTAGCTTCCTTCTTTTCACGATCTTCAATAAGTCCAGTGAAATGCAATCTTTCTCATTCATCGGGTGAAAAATGTGAATTCGGGGGGAAACGTTATTTACATTCACCTGACACCTTAGACAGTACTCACACAAAAGTGTATTTAATATCAACCCTTTTTAAGGGATGGTAAATTGAAATGAATTTTTAGTTGAGAGAGATTCCAAGATTCCTGATTTTGGATAAATTGTGTTACTTTCAACCCCACGGAAAATTCTTAGAACATCACTTTAAAAAAAGAAATCAACCTTTATTCGAGTATGAAACGGTTAACTAATCATCTCGTTATTCCTAATTTCCAAAAAAATCGTGTCGCATTCAACCCCACAAAAAATTCCAAGAACATCGTCTAAAAAAGAAATCATAGTACACTAAATGGAAAAAGAATTTTCATTCGACTGCACAAGAGTTACGAAACAGTTAACCAATCACCTTATCATTCCAATCAACCTCAGAATCAAAAAGTTCGTTAAAACATTGGAAAGTTTCTAATTGAAAACTAAATGCACGTCGAATTGCACGATTTCAAGCGCACAGGATAATCCGTAAGAACGAGGAAACTTGGTAAAAGCGAACTTTCACTCTCCGATCGAAAACTCGATCCTCCGTTCAACCCCCTCCGAGTAGCAACAAGTCGAAACGTTTTCCCGTTGGAGCAGATCGCTCGAAGCGACGAACAACGAAACGAAAGGAAGAACGCGAAGATATATATCTTCGTCGAAATTAATCCCGGCGTGATTTCAATATTCGAGCAGTGATTTTTCGGCGGTTGATTCAAACTCACCGCCAGTGTCCTCGCGCGGAAGTTATCCACCACCCTTTGGCGAACAGCTGGACGAACACTCGTGCGGAGCGCGGCTCGCACTGAGCTCGCACGCGAAACGAATCCGGGGCCCTCGTGTTCCTTCGCCACCACTTGCTCTCCTCCGCCGCCCTCGGCTTTCCAGCCACGTCGAGCACGATGCGCAACCTCGGAATATTTATGCCACCACCCCGCTTCCGTTCCACCCTCCCGTCGGCCGAACGAGCCGTTCGAGACGAAAATTGTTTCACGATCCGTCCTCGTCGTCGTCCGCCTTCTGCCTTCCTCGCCGGCGCTCGTTTCCTCTCCTTCCACCTTCTTCCTCCTCCTCTTCTTCTTTTCTTATGTAAATAAACGAGCGATTGGTATTTTGGACATGCAGCTCTTTCGCGGTTCAGTTAGCAGCGAGGCGAACGAGACGAAGATCCTTTGTTGCGTTGCATTTATAGGGTTGTTCGGGAAAATTCGAACATTTGCTGGGGGAATTGGGTTGGAAGAGGAGTTCGTAGCGTTTGTTTTTAGGAGATTGTTGACGGGAGACGCGAATTCGCATCTTCTGTTTCTCAATTCCTGGTGACGAGATACGCTAATTTGCGTCGTTTGTATGTCTGTTACTGAACGAAGTGTTGCAAATTATTTTTTGAACACTGCAGATGTTGAACTTGTCAATTTGTCATTTTTGAGCTTGGATCTATTTTGTAGTACCTATATCGTCGGCGATGTGTACAGTGAGATTCTCAAAGACTGTTTAGATATTTGTATGCAGATTTATTGCACCACGTATGTAATTTTGTTCTAGTTTCTTTCGTGATTCCATCCTGGGAGAATTTAGATCTTTCTGGACGATGAACTGGTCCAGACGCTTTGTTCCAGCCCAATAAATCCTTTCGTCACATTTGGACCACCCTGTGTATTCACTTACGCATTTCTTCAGAATTTTAGGTCCTTTTTTAAGTTTAGTTAACTAGATTTCAAGGAAGAAGCGAAGGATTTAATGGAAAGTAATTCTTCAGACTTTCCTCGGATTTGTGTATAGAGAGAAAAGTATGCGAGTAAATATTTATGAATGGTAGTTACCTTTTTAGAGAACCAGAACTGGTATCACAATGTATAATTGTGTTGAAAGACTCGACATTTGTTCAACATTCTTCTCTTTTGCAAAGAAAAGAATCTCCCCTTTAGTCTCTTCTCTCTTATTTCTCTTGCATTTTGCAAAGAAAAGAAAATTATTCTAAAGCCTACGTTGCTTTAGTTTCATGTTTCTCGCAAAATGTTACACTTTTACATTTTCTTAAAACATCTTACATGAGAATTAATCATACAGAAAACTTTCATCGAGGTAGAGATTGTCTAATTGTACTCTTAACACTCGCATAATGAATGTTCGCCAATAGAGATACTTTTCAATCGGGGAGAATAGGTAGTGTTTGTAAGTTAGCCTGGTAATTGTAAGTGAATAGTGCACGAAGTCAATAACGGTGAAGAAAATCAACAAATGCTCTATTCAAATGCGACTGCTCACGAGGATTCCCGGTGACCGCAGTAGAGCGTGCCTGTCTATGGTCAGACGCGAGCAAACAGGTGGAAAGCGCGAATTAACGGTAACATCTTTTACACATGGAATCTTCCCTTACCTTAATGTACATTTACAATTCCACTCGAGTCGCTTAATCGAACTTCCTCTATTTTATCGTAAAAATCAGCAACAACAAAACTCCCAAAATTTTATTCACCCAATATTGATATTCGAACAAATTTCTAAATTGAAGAATATTTTAAATAACACCGAATTTCAATTTCTCCAAAATTCGAATTTCGAAAAAATTGAAAAATGTGAATTGCAAATTTGCGAAATGCAAAAATATTTCAGCGGTAATTAAACGATGGAAAAATCGTGGAGACGGTAGAAACTAATGTGTTACACAGTCGAGTCGAATTTCCAAGAGCATTTCGCTGATGGAATGATGAGAAACGGTTCGCGTTAGGATAGTTGGCGTGGACGAATTCATCATCGCGCGATATTCCCTGGCAACGCGTTTCCATGTAACACTATATCCACGCCGTAAACGGCCACGTGAACAGGGGAAGGCGGCGAGTGTATGTACGTTAAATATTATGCCGTGGCTGGGTTGGTTAATTGGTCAGAGCAAGCCAGTTAGTTTCATTACGTTACCTCCATCTTCGTGGGTTTCGCACAATGGAGGCCTCTTCCAGTATCGGGGCCACTAGGCCTGCGTACGTTCTAGAGTCTCTTTATCGTAACGAGACCAGTCCCCGAGTGAAATTCCCATCGTTTTAACGGAGTTCTTTCGCTTCTTTCGAACTTTGAAAATCTTGGGATAAAGTAGGAATTTTCTGTTTTTACGAATATTTCTATCATATCACGTGATAACGTTGTAATATTATATCCTTATCGTTATCCTCTGTGTAGGACGCACAATTTTACCATAGTCTTCTCTGTGCATAAAAGTTCCGTTTTATGTTGTGAAATTAAACTTCGATTTTAACTAGACTAAGTTTCAAGTTTTAATTAACTATAAGCTTGAGATTTGACCTATAAAACGGAAGTTTTTGTAGCGGGTGTGTAAAGCGAATTATTATTATACCTTGTGTTAAGGGAATTTGATGCTCGAAGCGTGTTATTTTATTAGCTATTCTTGGGGCAGAAATAATTGGGGTGTTTGGACAGACTTTTTCTTTTTAATTTTGTATTGTTTGAGCTGGGAAATCGGAATCCAATATTGCTGTAAATGCAGTTGTGCATTATTTTCTCGTGGAATTGCAATTGAATTGCAAAGTAGAATTGCAGAGACCAAAGCACAAAATACAAAAGTGCAAAATAATCAGTTGAAAGAAAAAATACAAATACACAGAATATCTACTAAAATACGGAATGAACCAAAAATTATATCAAATCAATGCAACTTAAAACGCATAAAAACAAATCCTCTCCGAAACTACAAAACACACCAGAAGTAACGATAAAACAACACCCAAACAGTTTGCCCACACTCGTAGCAAAAAAAATTCCACTTTAACCCCGATATATGCATAAACTCGACTACACAATTTTCGATTCCATCTCCCAGCTTCTCGAGCCACCACTTTTCCAATATACAACTAACCTACTCAATCTTCCATTTCCTTCCTTGGCTTATAAACTGTTTCCCAGTATCTTTCCCGGCCTCTCTCGCAAACCGTATAACCTTCTTCGACTCTTCGATCCTCTTTTTCCAATCGCCAGGCAAAATTCACCTCGCGGCGTCAACCATGCCCCCCTTGTTTCCCTTAAGTATCGATCAAGCAACGCGTAACGACACTTCGTATCGGTTAGTTTCACATGAAAATACAAGCTGAAGAAACCAGATAGAGAGAGAGAGAGAGGGAGGGAGGTGGAGAAGTGGAGACGACAAGACAAGTGCGTGTAGCTTGAAGGATCGTGGAGGGCATCGTTAATGACCCACTGTAAGTGGCGAAGAATTGCAAGCTGGCACGCTCTCCGCGCTACCCTGATCAAATGCAGGGCCTCTAAAATGCGACTACTACGCGTCCACGAGTTTTGTTATCGTAGCCAGAGCGAGGTGATAGAGCTTAGTGCAAGGTTAGTCGGCGATGAGTGAAGTGCCAATCCTCTACGCGGCCATTGTTCTCCGGTAGCGGCCAGGATCAGAAAGGATTTCTATCGAATTCCTGCCGTGAGTACTGTCCTCGGATATATGTATATTCCGAAAATCGACAATTTTTCCACCGTCGATTTTTCATTCCTCTTCTCAACCGAGAAGGATCCAGGATCTAGAGTTCTCTTCGTTGTTCTCGTGAGGATCTTACAGAAGGGTGAAATTGTGTTCGGGATAGTTTCTGGAATAGCTTAGGCGATCTGTGATTTTGATATTTGCAGTTGGTTAGCTGAAATGTTGGAGTGAAAAGAGTATTTCGTTGTTGAGGAAAATATAAGAGGATTAAGAGGAAGTCGTTAGCTGGATGGAAGCAAGCTTCGTGGAAACAGTTAACGCACCTTTCATTCTTTCGCGCTGAACTCTGATTAATCCGGCAATTAAGACGCGCAACGGAGAGGAATCTACGCTGTGTAGCATGGTGAATTCGAGTCAATCCGAAGGCGGCGGAGAAACAATTTGTCTCTCCGGTGGATACTTGCAACTTTTCTCGCGTCTTTCCTACCGAACAAAAATCCTCCTCGATTCGTCGATGATAGAAACTGAAATCGTACCGATGTTAATTCCAAAAATTCTGTCTTTCAATAAACGTCCTATTCAAGAAGATTGAAACTAAAAATCCCAAATAATACGCGTGATTTCCTTCGCTACTTTCGAGAAAGCTAACTGGATTCGGTGTCGAAAAATAGCCTGAATTTAAGAAGAAAAAGGAAAAAATTGACGCGAAATCACCGCGCCATTGTCCACGGCCGATCGAGAGACGAAATCAAGTGAGAATTGTCGTCTCGAGGCAAACATTCGACGCTTCCAGGTGAAACGGTATATTGTGAAAAGCAAGGAAGCCCGCGGAACGGGACAACAATAATAAATTGAGAAGATTAATAGCAATCACCACGTAGGTCGAGTTACACCATTGTTTGACCGACGTCCCTACTAAACTTCGAAACTGGGTTGCATAACGCGGTCGTGGCACGAGAGTACAAGCCCTGGTCCGGGCTAAAGTTTCATCGATGCGTGTTCGAGTAAAGAAAGCCGACTCGAATTAACACGGGATGCTGGAAATTGCATCGGACCTGCCTTTGTTAATTCACGCCGCGTTCAAGGACGACGTCGAACGGACACGCGGAAATTCGAGCGTCCAGCTGGAGATCCTACGAATCGAGGGATTTCTTCAGTTCACGGAGTTCAGGAGAAATTGCTATCTTTTCTCTCTTGCACCTCTCAAAAAGTGATACACTTTTTCCTTATTGCTAGTCTCTTTCTTACGTTAAAATTCGATTCGACTGTTAATTTTTTTGAGGGAAGAGGAGCAGTTTTCTTGAAGTCGTTGAGACGATTTTTATTGTGGTTTTTGGAGAGGAATTTTTGATTAATTGTGTGCTCTGTTGCCTCTTTCGTGAATCATTTTGGCTATGGAGGAATTGTGTTACAATAAGCGTGCAGAATTTTCTCGGAGGATTTTTAGATATATTCGTGAAGAATTGACGGAGAATATT